ACACTCAAAGTTTGCATCGACGCAAGCCCTGAAGCGGTCAACACACTACACTTTAAAATAGAATTCTCTCTGATTGCTGGATGTATCACGTCGACCCTTCCGGTCAACTCAACCTGGGAATTTAAATATTTAAAGTTTGCATCGACGCAAGTCCCTAAGCGTTAGACATATTACACTTCAAAACAATTTTCTCTCTGGGTGCGGGTTATGTCACACCGACTCCTGCTTCTGGTTGAGTCGACCGCTCGCTGGCCTCAACTGATTTTTTGTTATGTTTGTGAATCTTGGGTATTAGGTAACACACACACACACACACACACACACACACACACACACACACACACACACACACACACACACACACACACACACACACACACACACACACACACACACACACACACACACACACACACACACACACACACACACACACACACACACACACACACACACACACACACATATATATATATATATATATATATATATATATATATATATATATATATATATATATATATATATATATATATATATATATATATATATATATATATATATATATATATATATATATATATATATATATATATATATATATATATATATATATATATATATATATATATATATATATATATATATATATATATATATATATGTATATTCATTATACATCATTATTTTCAGTTAACAAGAACTAGTGAAAGATACACATAGTGCTCATCATCTTCATCCTCTCTTCTCAAAAATCAACATCTACACATAATCAAGGTTGTTGATTCAAGAAAATTATTGTGGTGATAACGTTCAAATCAAGGATTCAATTTAGATTTGGGTTGAGCAATTGTGGGCTGTTCTTGAATAAAATCATTGGGATTTTCTCCTCCAAGATTCCTATTAGTGTGGGGGTTTTTGCACAAGTCTTTTCTTCATTAAATTCAACCGAGTGAAAGGATTAAGAAACAGTGGGTTTGCTTAATCAAGTAGCGATAACCGGAGTATTGTAAAGATAGATTTGGAGTCAAATTTCTTGCGATCGAAACCAGCCGAGTGAAAGGATTTAGAAACGGTGGGTTTGCTTAATCAAGTAGCGGTAACCGGAGGTTTGTTCTAAGAATTTGGCACTTGGCTTTGCTCAAACCAAGGAAAGGGAAGAAGACTGTTACATCAACAACATTTGTTTGTTTGTATTATGAACTATCTCTTCTCTTGTATCATTTGATACTTAATATCAAATATCTTAATTCTAGATTCTAGAATTGGGGGCAGACATACCCTACGCGAGGACGACAAGGGTAACTGCCTTAACAAATTGCGTGTTCTTCTGCTTTTTCTTCATATCTATACTTGATTACTAAACTGTGCGAAAATTAATTTGTCAAATCTGCACTTACTGAAATTATAGTGTGTTGAGTTCATTTCAAAACATTGGTAACAATCCTTTTGATTGATACCTAAGAAAACTTATCACTATAATTTTGTAAAACCAAGCTTAAGGTGCTTTGCTCACAAGGTGTTTGACAAATTGACTAACCCACAAAATTATTGATTGTGCTTATCCTTATCTCATTCAACTCATTGGTAGTAATTAGTAATCATTGAGAGTGTATAAGTAATTAATTAATTGAGTAAAATGTATTGATTCTTATTTTGTCAGTATATCCCATACAGTTTCGCATATCCGATCTTTTCAATAGAGGATCATTTAGACGATTTGAGATTCCAGGAAGCTTTCGCATATTTTTCTGAAAACAAATTTAAAAAGCACAAATTATTTTAAATGATCTATTCAACCCCCCTTCTAGATCGATCACATCGTCTAACAGATGTGCAACCTCATAAATTCATTGGCTTTAGAAAATCTATCAATTATTACTTCCACCTCGATTGTGATGGTTATGTTGGATGTACTTTCCTTTGTCGGCCCGATGTTATCAAAACAAAGTCTTTTCTAATGAGTGCAAGCACATATAACTTTCTCTTTCACCTTATCAAGGATAGTAGACTCAACGTATTTCAATAAATCGGGATACTCAACACACAAGTTTCTGAAGTGTACCACATTCTCAGTATAACTCTTTGGTAGTAGAATTAAGAATATCAGTCCATGCACCCATTATCTTCTCAACCACAACACCAAATTTGACCATGTTTTCGCCTTCACCCTTTTTTTCTTTGGTGCCAACTGCGGGTTTAGCTGTGCTCTCACATTTTTTGTTATATGAAACAGATAAAGTAATGTGGTTGATGAAAGAAATACAGTGTCAACCGCATTCATAAGTGCATTATCTCGATCGGTAACAATGACCTCAGGCAACAATGACCTCAGGCATATTTTATGGATCCTTCAACAAAGTCTTGCATATAACCAACGCCTAAGTGACGTTGTCTTCTTTCTCACATTCCAAAAACCCAAATCCAACCGAAAATGTCTTGTCCGTAGATGTAATGCCGATAATTTCTAGAAGCGGAAGCCTATACTTGTTGGTCTTGTACGTTGAATCAATTATAAGGACAATTGGAAATGTGTTAAATAACTTGATACTTTCTAGATGAGTCCAAAAAATGTCACGAATACTAACGCTGTCCTCACAAACTCTGTACTTGGAAACATAGTGGTTATCGTCCAAACATTTCAATAAATATTGCATTTCGGACCTCAGACCTCTTTGTGCAATGTATTGTTTATAACGATGATTGTAAATCGACTTGATATTTGAGACACATTCTAATTTATTTGTTTCAAACCGACAAGTATGTTTCTCAGCGAACCTTTGATCGACGACAATTCAAAAATAAATTCCTTCTCTATAGTCTTAAGTCGACATACAATTGGATGTCCGTGTAGCTTGGTGTCCAACGCATGATTATGCATACCGAACATGACATTATACCACCATAAATCATCCATCCTACAATAACTCCGCAATTTAAATGGATACTCATATTTCCTTGATCTTGTGTCATCATGTTTTATTTTCCGAATTTTTGGAATATATTTCCCACTTCGCTCGTATGTCATCACAATAAATGGTTTCCTTTTACTAGTCTCATTGTCGGAACTTTCAATCACAATGTCTAACCCAAGTTTGCTAGCTTCCATTCGAATTCATCCAATCATATGTTGACGAGTAGTAAAACTTTTATCGGTTTGAAATTGTTGTGCATAATTGATCGCAACATCCTTCGTTTTATCAACGTCCTTCACCTCAATCAGCTTATCATCTTCATTGACCTTGTTCAGAACCTTTACGAGAACTTTGGCAATATTATCGGGGTGCACCATACCTAACATGTTAAAAAAACATGAATTCTGTTAAAATAGAATTATGGTTTTGAAACAGACATTTTTTCGGATATGCACTTCCGAATTATGGTAGGTTGAATTCTGAAGTGCATATTTGAAGCGACGTTGTTTTCATCTTCAACAAATCAGTCTCAATGCAGGAAATGTTTAATGAAATAACATAAGTTTACCTCAAATTGCAGCTTTTTATGTCCTCTTTGATATACTCAAACACTTGAAATTTGATTTAGAGACGAAAAATCCATTAGAAATGATTGAAGGTTTATAAGGGTTTTGTTTATGAAGAAATGGAAAATGAATGAAATAGTTGAAATAGTTGAAATAGGTGACTATGCAATATTTTGATATAGAAAGGGTAGTTTCGGAGATGCACATCCGAAATAACCTATTACCATATTCCGCATGTGCAACTCCGAAACTACCTCAAAAAGTTTAAATTCAATATTTATGTTATAAAACATGAAAAAATGGTGTCTTCGGAGACGCACTTCCAAAACATGTTGATAGATACGTTCGAAAGTGCATATTCTAAGAATATTTTCGACTTTTCAAGGGTGATTTTCACCACTACTAAATATAAAAAGAAATTCTCATATTAGAATACAAATGCCTAAAAATCCTTTATTACCCTTTGTTAAAAATCAAACACCTATTAATTTTGGGGTTAAATCTTGTCTTAAAAATATTTTTTCTAACCAATTTAATATTTAATCCAAATATAGCTATTATTTCCATTTTGATGTCTGTATGGTTTCCAATTGTGCCTTATTTTTCCAAAACACTTTTTTATTGAAACTAATTGTCAACTTTTAGTTTCTAAAAAAGCTAATTATTTTTCTATGCACAACCATAAAGCAAAGGTCACTTCTATTATGAGTCTTTCTAAACCATCATCACTTCACCTTTTTCTTCTTTCAAAAAAACTTCACCTTTTTCTCCCTCACACCCCAAATTTTTTTCACACTTTCTTTATGTATTTTGGATCAATAATGTCTACAATATTACATTTTATGTAAAACTTACAACATAAAAGCATACAATCAATGTAAAAAAAAAGGTGTTGGTTTCTATAGTTGGTGGTTTTGTGGGGCGTGATGAGTTATAATCTCTAACCATAGAAGCTAAAAAAATAGGTGCTGCTAAACTTGGACATAAACAACATGTTCATAGGAAATCTATGGACACTTTTGGACAGAGAACTTCATAGTATAATATAGAGGTGTCACAAGGTAAAACTTCATTCACCCCTCTTTCAATTTCTCATATTTGATTGAAAAGTGATTTTCTAACTATACTTTTAATATTTATTTATTATGCTCTATTTTAGGCATAGATGGATGGATTGATATGGAGCATATTTATGAGATAACATTAGCAAGAAAAAAGGTCAAACAAGAAAAGGAAGACAATGTTAATGAGAAAAAAACCATAAACAATACTTAAATTTTATTCATAACTATTTTTTACTAACTCATTTAACTCATTTATTTTACTCATGCTTTGGATGATGATTTTACCAACTTTGCATCTTGTTGCAATATATTTAGGTAAGCTTTCATTTTCTCGTTGACCAAGTAAATTAAAAAATTATAATACTTTCAAAATAATCACTTATTTGATTTTATTATTTTGAACTTAATAAGAACAATTATGATATGGAGGAGAAAAGTGCAAGAGCTTATGGCTTATGACAAGGTTAGTGACCAAAAAACCATAAACAATACTTAAGTTTTATTCATAACTTTATTACTGCTAAATTTTTTTACTAACTCATTTGTTTTACTCATGCTTTTGATGATGATTTTACCAAAAGCACTATGGAGTTATCTTTTGAAGAGTTAAAGTTGTTGGTCTTTAATGATGATATACATTCTATTGGCAATAGATGGAATTGGAAAAGGAAGGTTGCTGTAGGAGTTGCTACTGTTGTGCTCAGTGCAGTTTCTGTAGGCATTGCTTTCTACATCTACTATTATTGCAGAAAGAAGAAAAATAATGTTCATGCAATATCATTTACTGCACTATCTCACTGTGCTTCTGGTTCTGGTTCAAAAGTCACTGAAAAGGGAGGTAGATACTGTGGAGTCCATTTCTTCACCTATACTGAACTTGAAAAGGCCACAAACAACTTTGATTCTACAAGAGCACTAGGAGATGGAGGCTTTGGCACAGTATACTTTGGAAAACTCCGTGACGGGCGTTTGATTGCGGTGAAACTCATGTTGACCATCCCTGAATCACCTCGTTGGTTGTTCCACATCAAATGACCATTGTAGAAACTGCCTCGTGAGGGATTTCAACTCCATCCTTTGAGGTTACATAAAAACCTTACAGCTGACCCAACATCTCGTTATATACGATTACATTCAATTTATATCATGTTCTCAAGACATACAAGTGCAGTGTTAGTGCATGCTTCATTTCATAGTTAAGGACTTACTCAGGAAACATGATACCAGCATCAATGAGGATATAACAGTCATGATTCCCTACAAGCATGCAATTCATACCAATTTCACCCAAACCGCCAATCGGTTGAACAGAATCTTCCATACTTTTCCGTGGACCTTTAATTCTTCGCCTTCTCTTGTGAGGTGCTCTAGAACTAGATCCATCATTGCCTACTCAAGCATACAGAATAATTCCCAATTACATTACTACTAATAACAATACACAGCATAGTTTACTGATTCTACATGTAGTAATAAAAGTATGAATGCGAAAAAGCGTAGGATCGTTATCACCTGAGGATGAGAGCGCTAAAGCTGAAACGGAAAGTCTGGTTGGTTTTGAGTGAGGCAGGGGAGGGAGAGACGTAAGAGTGGCCATTTTTGTGAGAAAAGCGAATACCCTATCTATGCTATGGAGAGAGTAGTTGTTGTATGATGAAGCAAGAATTAATCTGATATGTCAGATTTGTTACTGATGCATTAAAGTAGATAAGAGATAGTTTTAGTGACTAAAAATGATACAGTATAAGTGGAAATACACAAGAGAGGAAGCTGAAACAAATGATTGTTTTCATGGTTATGTGAAAAAACATTTCAGAGGAAGATAACATTCAACGAAGTTATTAGATGTGTAGAAAAGTAGTATGAAAAAGCAGAATGACAACCCCATATAACGGAAAATTGCACAAAGATGAAGATGATGAAAGCCATGAAACATAGTATATAAATCGGATACGAATTTCACAGGAAATCAAGAAGAAATAGACAAGGAAGTTAAAGATGAAAGTTGTGAAACATCAAATGAAGGCGAGGAGAGAAAAAACCAAGTTCAGAGAACATCTTACCTTAGAGGAAATGGGAAGAACTCGGAACTGGTGGAGAGGAAATGAGTTTCTTTTTCAAGCTTCAACTATGAGCAAGAGAGGAGGGAGGAATTTTGGTATGAAAAAGGAGAGAGGGATATGATGTACCCGTATGAAGCTTGCCAGGTGGATGGAAAGGGTGTTCAATTGGGCAATGCAATGTTAATTAATCAATTACGAAAAAGGGCATAGTTTAGTGTAAATTAATATTGTGCAAAAGGGAAACTTAGGGAGATATGAGGCATGTTTCAGTCTTAGTTAGGTAGTTGAAGAAGATTTTTTAAGATGCCTGCCTAACATGTGCCCTGCGAGAGTCTCATGGACATGTCTAACAACAGATATGCTTAAACTCATATATGTATGCACTTCAGAGAAATTAATAGACATTCATATTTATGTTTATGAAAAAGCTAACAAACCAAAAAGTAAACTTTAGTACAAGTACAATTTTGTGTTCTTGACAGACTAATTTTCTGACATTTAAGTAGAGATCTAACATATGTTGCATTATTGTTAAATACGTTGGCTACTTCCTGAAACAATATCAAAGCACTACAAACACAACATCTATCCGATAGGAAATTAGGCACTGCAAGCATTAATACAAGAATAGTCCAAGTTTGTTTCTTATGCAGATTCTCCAGGTAACAATCAACATTTTTGAATTGCTTTAATGTGTAGTGGAAACCATACTCTCCATTTTCTGAGTTCTGTCCATGTAATGCTCATGTGAGATTGGCGTGTCCTGAAAACCAAGGTAATCCTGTTGGAGAACACTGTTTTGGGCCTGAAACCGGAACAATAGGACCCAGAAAGATGCGCCACAGATCAAGTATTATTGTGACCAGCATTGCAGCACCCAAAGCATCAACAGCCACTCTGGGCAAGTCCCATTTATTGCCAGGTTTCTCATCAATCCTGCATATTCACATGAATAACCATCACTAAAAAGATCAGTACAATGCTGACATATTTCCGTTTCTCGTGTATGCAACTACTCCAGACACAGAATGAGGCAACTCAAACAACAACTAGTAAAAAGTAAAAACATACCGTAGAAACATTGGGAAGCTCACAATGAAGTAGATTGCATAAAACAATGATCCAACTTTGTACATAGAATCTCGGTCCACAAACTCATAATAAGGAAACTGCACATATGATAACATTATTAAAAATATGCATTTCATATTAAAGGTCAAAGGCGGTGTTGTCGTTAATTTATGTAGCCAATCATACATCATAAAAAAGATTTTATTGTTGTTTCTGTTGCAACAAAAGGCAAGTGCAAATGTATAACGAATACGAGAGTCTGTGTTTCATAACAATTCAATTAATTTTGGAAGGAAAATCATGGTAGACTTGAAGATAGGGAAATTTGCAATTCAAAGAAAACAGTGTGAGATAATAATAAAACATAGTTTTCCTAACATAATTCAGAATAGAGAACTCTGCTGCAAAAATAGCAATAAAAATTTATGCATCAAATGCATATTCCTTGAAATGTACAAAGGCATTCAAACGCAAACATTTTGGGATAGACTTTAGGACTTTACAAAGTATATATATTTTTAAACTAAAATGCTAGATAAACTTGAATAGCAGATAAAAGGCATACTTAAACGCTTTGATGCCTCAAAACTATAGGTCGCAATCCATGAATATGTCCAAAAATGCAAGACAAAACAAAGATCATAATAATAAAAACCAGTTGAGTAGTTTGTTACAACATACATTGGAAATAGCCAGTGTCTCGAGGTATGCTATAAAATAAGCAAGAGTGAGAACCCATGCAGCTTCAGCAGCCCACCGTATTTTTTCCGGGGTATCAGCCAGAAAATGTCGTAACCGGCGTAGTGTCATGTTTGATGCAACATGATAAAAGAGAAAGCAAACATGAGTGAGCAGGAATGTCGTGTGTGGTACCTGCCACCAACAAATATAACAAATCAAAGGCCTGATAACTAATAAGTCGAGAACTGTGAAAAGGGTAGCAAACCACCGAAGGCTTACATTGTTCATTTTCCATGATGGAAAGGTATAAGATGCGCCGAGAACTGTGAAAAAGTAATGAGTCCAGAAATAATTCCCGACATAACTAAAGATAATTATCCAGAGACTGGCCTGTCAACAGTATAAGGTGCAGATTTAAAAACAAGAATGATAAAAGTTTGGAGAATAGTATCCAGTAAAAACACTTGCCTTGACCCAATAACGATCGTTCCAAGACATGTCTCTATCGGCCTGCAAAATTTGATATATTAATTAATATAAACAAAATTGATACCATATCACCATTTTTTAATCTGTGTGCAAAGTGATTTTGAAACGGAGGGAATACAATACAACAATTTATTACCTTACCAACAAGCAGCATTGGAATGAGGAAAGCAGGAAGTGCGGAGACCAAACCAATAAGTAAATACTCCAATTCAGTGAATTTCTGTCAAGTAAAGTAATACATTGTTATTCTGTTTATAAAAACAATATGAATAGTTTGTAATTAGAGAAAGGGAAGAAAAACCAAAACCTCGTAAAGTTTGAAAGGAACAACAATGCCGAGACAAAGGGAGAGCCAGAAAGGGGTGTAGAGGAGGAAGAAGAGTTCGCCCCATCTTTTGCTGGGATTTGGAGCCAACCACAAGCTTGGAGAAGGTGAAGCTGCAGTTACAGTCGCACAAACAAAGAAATAGAGATTTAGACTATAAACACAGACAAAAAAAAGCTTTTAATTTTTTTTAAAAATTATTATCGGTGTCACCGTGTTTGAGTTTAAATAATCGAAACAATAATCGATAACGATAAGATGATAACGATAAGATGAATGAATGAATTAGAGAATTACCGGACATTTTGGGATAACGATGATCTGATGCGAGATGAGATGCGGAGTTGAATGAAAACCTCTCTCCTTTGACTCGTCTTTACTCTATCGTTCACTTCTCTCACTCCTGTGTCGCACTCGTACCAGAAGCATCAATAAATGCGTTTCAGAAGCATCAATATATTATATATTATCAATATTTATATATCTCCAACGGCCATTGTTCCATAAAATCTAAAAATTATATCCTCCTTAGACATAATGTCATTAAAATAACCTAACACAGTCCAAGGACCCTTAGTTTCCACCTCCTTAATGTCCTTCCAAAACTCTCCCCTATCAAAGTGATACCATTTTTTTGTGTAATTAGAAATAAAATAATGCAATTGAAATTGAAGGGAAAATCTTTTTTTTTGTTGGTATTTTAATTAGCAATAAAAAATATTATTCATTTTTATTGCATGAATAATTTATTTTATATAATATTAAATGATTTTTATTTTAAATTTATACTATTCATTCGTATTGCATAAATTTTATTTAATATATTTTATTATAAATTAAATATTTTAATTTATGAGAAAGATAAATAAATTAAAAATGCTGATCTGTGCTTTCTTTGGTGCAATTTTATGTTTAGCTATTTTGGTGTATTTTTGGGCTATTCTTGGATAGGTCTTGGAGCAGTATTGCAGAGGCTAATTTTGGGTCAATAACATAGCACAGATTATGCAGGGTTATTTGCGCAAACTTTTGGACTGTTTTATTTGTTTTGCAATGTGATGCAGGTTTTGATATGAAGCAGTATTGCAGCCTGTTTTTGACATGGTTTTGGGCTAGTAGCAGCAGGCTTGGATTGTTATGCTTTGGTGATATCTTTCTGATCTTGGTCTCTTCTTTTTCTGTCTGTGATTCATAACTGTCATTCTTTGTTTCTCATATAATTCTGAAGGGTTTGTGCTTTTAGGAAAGTGATGAACAAAACTTAGAGTTTTTGGGCTGTGTATGAACGATAGTTTCCTCTTTGTTTGTGTGAACAATCGTTTAATGTTGGGAGGGAAAAACCAGTTAGAATGCAAGTTTTTATTTGGCTGTTTTGTACAGGGGTTAGAGCTCTTTGCATCAGGTTTTTCTTTGGCAGGGCAGTAATGTGTTTATAGCAGGGCTGAACTTTGTTTGTTTTGCAGCAAGTTCATGGCTGGTTTTTTTGACACTATTTTATTGGTTTTTTCCTTTTCACTGAGTTGTAGTAAATTGTTTTTTTGAGTCCCCTAGTTGTGAACCAAAAGGGCTTTTATGATTTACAATTGAGGGGATAAGCCTATGACTTGAAAAGAATTTCTGAATTTTGTTGTGAAATATATTCAATATGAGGCTTTGGATTGGATTTATCACATGATTGAAAACACCCTTTGTTTCTGATTCCTTCATAAACCCTAATGATGAGATTAGAAGAAAACTTCGCTTGCAAACTTCTTGTTCGAATTACGATTGAACTAACCAATTTTATTGTTTGTTTTTTTCATGTGAGGATTGATGGAAGGTGAAGAAAGCAACACAAGTGTTGTACCCAAAAATTTTCCCTCTCATTTCTCAAGTAATCTCTCACAAGACCTCATTTGATTCAAGACTGCACAATAGTTGATCAGCCCAAGACACCTCCTTAAGCACTGATGACCAAAATTAGGGGTT